GAAAGCTCAGTTTTCTTTTTTAAATTATCAGTAAGTATGCTTTAATTAATCTTTTACAATCAAATTAAAATTGCATTTTTTAAAATCACTATGTGTTTGTATTTGTGCATAATTGATACAAGTAATACTGAAGGAAGGAGGATTTGAACACATAACCTTATATACAGCGATATCTGCTCTTAATCACTTATCTTGCAATGGATAAAGAATATTATTAACACAAAATGAAAAAAAAATGGTGGAAATTGAAAAGGGAAAAGGCAAATGCCAACTTCTTCCTAGGAAGCAGGAAGGTGGCTCACAACTCATTCAAGTTCAAACCCAATGATCATCCTTCTCAGAAGAAAATACCTAGTTAGCCATATGGTTGTGAGATTGTTAGCTTTGATCTCAGACAAGCCAATTCTATGCGTGTGATTTGTTAAGGCCCGCTCATTTAAAGAGAATTTGATAATAATGGTTGGGAGATTGGAAGGTTGCCGGCATCTATAAAACTCTGAAGAATATTATGATACTTAATTTAAGCAATCGTATTCATATATGACTCTTCAAAACTTAAAGGCTTGCATTTGCCGCGACACTTTGAGTTTATGGTGTGTCGGCGTTGGAATCACCCATGACGGCGACGTTTTAGGAATGAGACTAATCTTAGCATTTCCGGTGAGCATTTATGTATATTGCTTTGTTTGCAAGGCATATGATAATGATATTATGTATGTATATGCTATGCTGTTATTTGTTAGTTAGTAGCTTTGCATTTGTTTGGACATGCAATTAATAATTTCTGGGAAGCCTATGTGTGTAATCTCTTTTTTTCACCTAATAAATATTAAAATTTTATGCATCATATGGATCCCATTTGTTTTTTAAAATATAATAAAATAATATGATATTTGGCATTTTGGGTGGAGTTAAATTTTTTCAAATGTGTCAAATTGTTACATAAGCCATCAAATTCAAATTTAATATTTTGCATTCGACATCTCCCTTGAAGATGCTATGAGAGAAGCTACGTGTAATCTCTTTTTTCATCTATTAAATATTCAAAAAGAAATAGTTGAATTTTGTGACAAGGTTGAATGGTAAATGGGATGCATTGGTTTCATGAGAACAACTTTTTGGACTTGTCATGAGAATCATAGAAAAGACTTGCCTAAATGTCATAAATTTCATGACAAATTTCAAGGGAAAGATGTCATGCCAAGAATGTCATAAATGATGTTACAACTTTTCTAACTTGGCACAAGAAGAAAAATTAAAATATTTACAACTCTAATAAATTCTAGTCCTTTACCAAAATTTCTAGTGTCAGGGAGGGCCTTTACGTTTCTCAAGCCAACCATTGAGGGGAAGAAGGAAGTTCTCAACAACCACAGAGATTAAAAGATGAATGCAATATCCCAAAGATTTGGTATAATAAAGAAGCAGGAATATTGAAAATGGTGTGTTCTTTTCTTTTAATTGATGAGCAGTAGGTAGATGAGCAGCATGATTGCTTTGGTTATAACTTATATGTTATAAATAAAGTTGGTTGGTTTCTGAATTAATTTTGAGATCTTTTCTTCCTGCAGTGCTTGTGTTAGCCTGCTTTGACCTCTCTCTCTATCTTTTTTATATATGCAAGGCAAGCAAGGCAATTGCATGGGTGGTGGAGAAAGCAGTGATTAGGTTACAGAGATTTGGTATATTAATATACCCATCCAACATCGCCCACCAACTGTACCCGTATCTAATACAACTCAATGCAATATGAATGAATCATAGCTTAGCTGCAGCCTGCAGTAACAATGGAAAAACACAGAAGGTAAATATAATTTGACTTCAAAGGAAATTACCAAATGGGTAAGTTTTGATGACAGTACAGATATATATATATATATATATCGCTTTCTGAAATGGACACCTGATGGGCACAAGTCATATAGATTTAGGACCACTCGTGCTTTTGATTCCATTTGGGGATTTTGGCATCATAGCAAAGCATATGTTAGATTAGGTTCAGAGTGAGGAAGGAGGAGGAGGAGGAGGAGATGGGTGAGCAATATGTATGTAGGGGTAGGGCAGAGTAGGCTAATCATGCTGTGCATGATATGCACATGATCCCAGTGATCCTCAGTGCAAAGCAACAAGCAACACGTGGAAAAAGACCCAATTGGCAGTGCACGCTCTCTCTCTCTGGAGTTTGAAAAAGATTTGAGCACATGATCATGAAACCCAGCTGATCATTTGAGTTGAGGCCATGGCTATTGACCAGAACACAAACATTTCTAAAACTTTAAGAGATTTGTTCATCCAATCAAAATCTTTGCTTTCTCTGAAAGATTTTTCCCAGACATCATGACATGTGTTTGACCTGTGGTCCAACATTTTGCTTCGAGATTGACAGTCTCATTTGAAAAGTTGGATCATACAATTTGATCCTCGAGGCATCAATCATCATAGTCCGTGGTGCATATTTCTCAAGAAGTGGGCTAGCAATGGACATAAGCATATACAAGTCTCAAGCACTTTTAATCATTGAACATTTGAAGGCAAATATGTAATCGAGCAAGGAGAATACTAGGGTTAGGGTTTGCGAAACGTAATTGATTCATAGCCATTGATGCATCATGTAGGCATAATAAAGGGATGAATTACATGCTAACAGTACCTTAGGGCTCTTTTTGGTGAGTCGGAATGAATTGGTTAAGATTTGACTTGGAGTATTGATTGGGCTGGACTCCTATGAATTGTTTGGTACACCACATTAAAGCCGCACTAGATTGGACCCAATTTTGAGAAACCTAAGTTGCCTACCTTTTTTCTTTATAAGGAAAAAAAGAAAAGAAAAAAGGGCAAGCACAAGGCCTAAAATTTGTTTGCATATCAAAGCCTTGTTGGGCTATAACTATATGAACCATATCATATTTTTCATGGGTTATGGGCCTAGTCTTACATGGATAGTACCAAGTCGGGCCAAGACCTAACTTTTGAGGTTGTGGGTTGTCTTCGATTGATCAGTGAAACGTGGTCGTTAGTTGTCTTTGAAATCTTCTTAAAAACATACCGATAAATCCGCCCCCCCTCCTCTCCCTCGCTTTGTCTCTCTCTCTCTCTCTCTCGCGAACTCAGAGGACTTCGTCATTCGCAGCGACGCTGGATACAAAAAAGGTCAAAACTTTATCTATCTCTTTCCCTCTCTCTCTTTCGCGCTGTAATCTGAGAATTTGTATATGCATAATGAATTCGACGTCGTTTGGTTCATATAACATTTTAACGCGGTACCTTTGATGTTTACGATTTGCTCTGTTTCAAAGTGTTCTTATTTGTTGGATTTCTATTTCTCTTCATGAATCTTTCTTCATTGCTTTGAAGCTCTGTTTGTTTGCCGAGAAAAGAACGTGGGAAAAATACCAAGTTTTAGCTTCTTCATATTCATAATGAGGTTTAACTTAGCTCAGTCCAATAAGCCCATTTGGTTCTTGGTTTAGTGGATTCAGTTACCGTTCTATTATTAGATAGGAAGAAAATTTGGCCCTAAATAGATGGAGGTTGAGTTTCTTCTTGGAGCTTTTAGAGAAGCTTGTTTTAGACCATTCTCTAAAAATATGTTCAGCCTAGCTCACATAGAAACTCTCTAGTTTAAATGCTAACCATGTGAAGAGTTCTATAGAAATAAATGCATAAGAGATGATCTGGCCTTGAAGAATTCCAACAGTTTGAGGGGATGTAATTCTTCATTGAAGTTCCAATCTCAGATGGTTATTTGTTTCTTTTATATTCTTAAATCCTTTTTGCAAGTTCACTTGAACAACAATAGAGTAAATCCTTCCTTTGGTAATGACTAATTGAATTTAAAAAAAATATGTACTGACACCAAGTTGAAATCCTAAATGAAAAAAAAAACAAAACAAAAATTTGATGTGGTTCGGCGATGTGTGTCTGCATCCACGGGAAGGGGAAAGTTTCATGTATACTGGCTCATGTAAGAGCTCTGGAAATTATTAGAGATCCAGCCACCCATATATGGAATGATAAAATTACAATTTATCAACCATAACCAAGGAAATAATATGGATGGGTCATAATATAAATCAGCCACAATTTGAAATTCTTTCCTTTTCTTTTATTATTCACGTTAACAGTTTCCATGTGCGTTATATGATACTTGTGTGTATATTATTTATTGAAAAAGATGAGATTTCTTCATCTTGTTAAAAGCTCATTGTTGGTCCCTTCTGCCCACAACTTGCAGGCGCACAGAGAAAGGGAATGATTGAAGATTTTGCAAAACGTGGGGAGACAGACCTACTTAGGCAAATAGTGGAAAACGATCAGTCCAAGAAAATAATAGCTTATGATCAAGAGTACTAGTTCCTTTTCAATGACCAAGGGCGAAGTGCAAGTTAATCTCTTAGCAAATTCAGCACCTCGGCCTTCCTTGCCTTCCTTTGTTAGAATTCGGGCGATGGGTATGGAAACTACCAAAAATAATGTGAAATCGAATCAAGTGTTGAAAAAGAAAACAAGAAGGAGACGTAGGATGAAGAAATCAAATCTACTGCAAGATACTAGTCTATCTGATAACCTGCGTCAGGAATATGGTCAGAGTGACACTAATCATATGCATAGATTGTCAACTTTAAGTCTAGTTGATGAAAGAAGTGATGACATAGTAGTTATTTCATCAGGAGCTGTTAAAACTATGAATGAAGTGGACCACAGCTCAGGGATTTCAAATAGGTCAATTGTGAGAACACCTGTTTGCGATATAGAGAAAAAGCTTCTTATTCTTGATATTAATGGACTACTTGCGGATATAGTCTCTCCTCCTCCAAAGGGACTTGCATCTGACAAACGAATTGCAGGGCGGGCAAGTGAGAAATTCTTTGTACTATTGTTTCACTTATAAACTCTAATGCTCTATTTGTTCTTTGTCTTTAATTGCATCTTTACTTTCTTTGTTCAGTTTTCAAGAGGCCCTTCTATCTTGATTTTCTTAAGTTCTGCTTTGAGCATTTCGAAGTGGGTGTGTGGTCTTCAAGATCCAAGTAACCTATAGTCTGCTATCATTTCTTTCTTTATTTCGTTTATGTTGAATTGATTTGATTTTTTTTCTTCATATTTTGGAAGAACTTTTTTCTTGTCCTCTTTTTACTTTAGCAATATGTTGGTTGTTATAAATTGGTATTATTAGTGACAGCAATACCTATTTATTTGTTGAAGGAGAATTGTGGAACGAGTGCTTGATTATCTGATGGGTGATATGAAGCACAAGTTGCTGTTTTGTTGGGTAAGCACTTCTATTCTTGTTCCTTTTGTGCATCATCTATCTCCTTGTGTGTAGAAATTGTAATAGCATTCTGGAGTCGACCTTTCTTGCCTGCTCATATCCTCAATTAGATGATCTTGCAATGAATTTAAATTATAAAATCTCCTGATTTGTAAAGGCATGCAAGACTTTGGCCATTTTGGTCGAAGGTAGTCCCCCAAATATATTGGTTTTGATTGTTTTATCAGCAAATCTTTGCCTTAATCTTTTTACTATGTATATTGGTTAAATCATGGTAGAAAAATAGTTTCCTAAATTCAGAATCACTTAATGGGGTGTAGTATCAGCCTAACAACAATTAAAGCAATCACGCGTCTCTACCAGTCTACAACTAGCTTTCTTGTGCTTTTCTGATGACTTATCATAGATTCTTTAAAATTATCATCTAACGTTCACTTAAAATAGCTCAAGCATTCATTTCCTTGCATCTTAATTGTGGAAATCTTGATGGATTTTATGATGGCTTTGCAGGATCTATCCCATTGCACTGCAACAGGGTTCAGGACTCTAGAAAATAGGCATAAGACCTTGGTTTTTAAGGAACTGAGGAGAATATGGGAAAAACACGACCCTAGTCTTCCATGGGAGAAGGGCGTTTATAATGAATCAAATACATTGTTGTTGGATGATTCCCCCTACAAAGCCTTGCTTAATCCTGTGAGCTTCATTTTAATTTATCTTTTCCCTTCTTTTGGGCTACTCATATAAGTTACGTAACTCTTGTTTTTGGATTTGTATTGAACTCTCATTTTATAGGCACATACCGCAGTCTTTCCTCATCCATACACGTTCCAACGAGGGAGCGATTCTTCGTTAGGTAATAAAAAAAATCGATTCCTAACTGCTTTATATTTCAGAAAATGTACATGTACCCTACAAGGCTGCAAATACACTGAAAGTATTGCATTCTGGCTTCTATCGCTTAACCTTAATTATTTATATTTTTCTTTGAAAATTTTTAGGCAATATAATTTTGAGAAATGTTTAGAGGGCACCTCATGGGATCTTCCCAGTTGAGCGGTCCTTCAGTATTCAGTATGAATCCTCTGATTCATTTAATTATACTTATGTACACAACAAATATATCCAAATGTTAGACTGAAGAGAGAAAAAAAACAAATTATCCAAAAGTTTTATGCAAATTGATTTGTCAGCTACTCCAATATGGAATATGGAAGATGGAGTTGTACATTATATGTGAAGAGAACCTTCATATTTTCTGGGTTTCAATAACTTGTTGGTAAAGATGTAAAAGGCCAATGTTACGAGAGAGGAGGAACTGAAATTAGCAGGACACCTTTTTGTTGAAATAAGGCATCCATCCCTATCTCCTTTTCTCCATGATGACAGAATGTCTTTACTGTGTACTTGGTTTGCTTTGTTCTGGAGGTTTGAATGGTATTATGTGTCAAATTTTTAACGAGTTAGAGGCAAATGATAAATAAACTGACTGCAACAAATGGCAGGTCCTGGAGGTGATCTTCGGGGCTATCTTGAATGGTATTATGTGTCAAATTTTTAACGAGTTAGAGGCAAATGATAAATAAACTGACTGCAACAAATGGCAGGTCCTGGAGGTGATCTTCGGGTCTATCTGGAAGGTTTGGCTGCTGCTGAAAATATACAGGAGTTTATAGAGCAAGAGCCATTTGGCCAAAGTCCTATTAATGAAAGTAGTGCATCTTGGCCCTTCTACCTCAGGGTTCTTAGTACGGTGTATTCTGTAGATACCACCAACATGACCTGTAATTCTACCGTTCAGCGTTAGGTATGAGTTTTGCATTTCTTATATTTTGCTCTTGCCATCCTTCGTGCCTTATGTGGAGCTTTGCTCGGCGTATTCTTCCAAAGCTTTGTCAAACAACTGGAGCTGGTGACTTACCAAAACAGCCATAGGTAATAGAAAAATTGACCCCACAAAAACTTGTAATTGAAGTGTTTTTTTGAAACATACATTGGAAATTTACTTCCTGCTCCATCCATATTGGAGAATCTCTTATGTCATCCTTATTTTTTGGTCAAGGAATGGAACAGTCGATTTCATTTTCGGATATCAGATATTTAGTGAGCAAACTTATCAGAGTTGTGTGTGATTGGCTTTTTTAATCCTGGTCCACCTGTCTGTGGTTAGACATGTTTTTGGGCTCAAACTATAAGGCCTTTCTTTTTACCGACAGAACCAGTTCAGTGGTGAAGCATATTTTTCAAATAAAGGCTCCCTTAACCAAAGCTTATTTCAGAAAAATGCAATTTAACCATCTGAGTTTAGGGCCATCGATATGGGCGAAGGAAAGGTTTTCATGCCTATATAATTTTCTGCATCACCCTTCCATGTTTTTTTTGCGTTGCCAAAGTTAGAAAGGGGACGAGAGAAATTCACATACACATGTACCTATAGGGTTTGAACCTGAGACCACTTGGAACCACACTAAACGCTTGGGCCAATCTAACACACACCCTATTAGTGCATCGCCCTTCATGTTAGAAACAAGTGATATATCTCCTCTGCCATACAAAACAAATGTTACCAACTACCAAGAAGAAAAAAAGTGATAGAGATATTACATGGATGTGAATCTCTCTACCCATGAGTGTCATTGATTCGTGGTAATGGCATTGGATGGGCTTCCGCATGTACGAGTGTCACTATCTCCTGCAATTTCATCAAAACAAATTACTGTGGCCATGTTTTCTTCTGTACCATACCACCGAGCAGTCCACAAGTGTGCACCAAAAACACTCATGACTTTGGGATGCCATAATGTTCTCTCTTCCTCATCATTTTAGAAACCTAGAAGGATTTGGTGTTGACACTTCGACCTTATGGCCCAGTGCCCATCCCTCTTGGATCTTGAAAAAAGAAAAAAAACCAGAAGGTACAATACAATAGAGCAATTATGCAAAAGGTCCTTTGTGTACTGTGAGTTTGAAATGTAACCCAATTTCAAAGGGACTGGCGCATGAGCCATCGTGGAGCTGCATGGTTCACAAAGATCGTTATGGCAATTCTGAGTTTCACATCATGACAAAATGGACTTGTAACAAACATATGGCCCCATGCACCCACTCACAAATACGAAAAACAAAAACAGAGTAGGTTTGGTTTGTGTGGAGTTCATAAAACGTAGCCAGCCTCCCTTGAGGTATTTTTCTTTGAAAATTGTTTTGGGGTTTTTAGGTTTGGTTGAACCTGTTGAAATTGTCCCGCTGGAAGTATATTCAAACTTCTCCTCAGGTTTGGCATGTGATGCAGGCGACTTTTAGATCCCACTTACCTGGCAAACTGATTGGACATGTTTTGTGCTTGACTTTTTGCTATTGCTGCTATCTCCAATCTTATATAAAATAAAATAAAAACAAAGAATTTAATCTCACTAATGTCCCTCTTCTTAGTACACGTGACACTTGCTAATAATTTGGTTTTCCTCTTAAAATTAAAAAAAACAAAGAATTTAATCTCACTAATGTCCCTCTTCTTAGTACACGTGACACTTGCTAATAATTTGGTTTTCCTCTTAAAAAAAGAATTAGCAAAAATGCAAACTTGAAGAAGCATATTGTTGGCTTATTTTGCTTCAAATGAAAGCAGAAAATTAGAGAAAGTTATCCAATAATTGGTGTGTTTAAAAATTTTAAAAAAAAAGGTTTTCTTACACCCTAAGTTTAGATGTGTGAGAGATAGCTAGGATGAAGGCTCTCATTCTCACGTAGAATAAGATGCATGGCACATTGACTTCTTCATCACCCAACATTGAACAAACCCTCTAACGTAGAACAATCCCATATATTCATACACACCTTGTTTAATGGGCACACAATTTTGGGTCCTCCCATGAAATTCGTAAGAATGTGAATAGGAACCTACCCTACAATACAACCTGTTTTTTAAAGGGAATCCCCCCCTCCTCCCTCCTTGTGATTGTGTGCACATATAATTCTTTATTTGTGCAATTAAATTAGATAAATAAATGGGATATTATCCCCTTTTTGTTGACTTTCACAAAGCTAGCCCCTTAGTTTTCTTTATACATGTGGTGATTTGAAGTTAATTGGGTGATGAGAATTTGTGGAGATATGGAGATCATGTGGCAATCATGTTGGGTTGATGCTGCAATGCTTCTTCTTGGAACCTAGTTTAGGATATTATGATGGAGATGCTTAGTTGGTCCCCTTCAAATGAAGCTATGCTAAAAGGCAGATAGGCAATCCCCTCATCATGTGATAGTTTCACTTTTCCCATGTGGCCCTGCACCCCACCCCCCTCCCTCTTCAATTTCCATCAATTATAAGTCTCTCATCTCTATCACCATCGATCTCTCCCTCTCTATCATACAAGAGAGATTGCATCAGCTAGACGAAATAATAATTAAGTAGCTTTAGCAGATGTGAGTTAAACCAATTGATTATAGTAGCGAGCCCCGTCGTCTTCCACTTAAATTTAAATACCCAAATTTGAATTCCCCTATAAAAAAAAACCTATATAGCTCTAGCCAAGTGCACCCAGAAATTAAAGCAAGCTAGCTAACATTCCCATGCAAGCAAAACTCTGGCTAGCTTATTTCACAAGTACCAAAATTAAACTAAATCATATTTTATTATCTAGTAGCTAGCAGGGTAGTGTTTGAAAATGATGATGCACACCACCATCACACCATACTAAACAAATCCGAGCATATAACCATATACTTTTGAAAAGGGTTTTAGGATCTTCACTCCATCGGCATATGATCAATATAATAATATTAATATGGGTATGTTAGTGTGTTACGTACATCTCAATCTCGTAAAAAGCCAACAAAAGAACCATTTCAGTATGTTCATCATATTCATATATAAGATTTTAGTAATATTCTCTGTGTACAAATTAGAATATTTACAGGTCTGTATATGCGAAAATGTCGAATTGCTTCCACAACGTGCTTCCCATAAATATAATAGGTAGATAGAAAGCTTGGCACTTATGCGCTTGCACTTTGGGTGGCACCTAACATGGGAGGGGAGATTGGATTCAACACCTACGTCTTAAAAGGTTAAAACTTTGCTCTTTTTGGTCCAAGATAAACTCCAAAAAGGTCTCATATTTTAATCATCTAGTAATAGAATTTATGCTCATTGTAATCCCACTACCCTTTCAAATTTGGCGACAAAAAGAAAATGTAAAGGTGTCTAATTAGAGGTCTTAATTATTTAATTAATTGTTATAATAATGTTCCTCACAAACTATAGCTTGTTTAATGGGTCAATCCTCCGTACTCCATGTTGAACCAAAGCACGTGCCACTCCTACCCTAATTCTATATATATTTATATTTATTGAATTAATGGAGATGATCATGAATGCGACTTTCTTAATTATATATAAAATTTCTGAGTACGAGAGTGATTATAGTCCAGATAATGCTATAGCTGAAAAAGGAGGCACCATTTATAGCTAGTGGGGTGTGCGTCATTTTCTTTATCTTATTGCAACTTCAAAATCGTAGCAATTAATCAAAAGAAAGAACAAAGACATCACAATGGAATTGATAAGAACAATGTCCTTAACTCACAGAAGAATCGTTAATAATGGAAAGTAAATTTGACCACTCTTGCTTCACTGTCTTCACCAAAATTACAATGTGGTATGTGGTGGATGTGGCAATTAATTTGCAAGGCTCGATTGTCTTTTACGAAAGACAATGCTTGGTGGGCTCGTACTTGGGAGGGCCAGAATCATTTATGGGGAAAAACACCTCTCATATGTTTCTCCATATAATCACTTGAAGTGATTTAGGTGATTCTGAGGAAAAACACCTCCTATGTGATTCTCCATAAAATCACTTAAAGTGATTCTCCATAGAAATGATTATTGACCTATTCAGAATTACTCCCAAACAGTGCTTTCAAGATACATCAATATTTACTTAAAATTTGTACCCTATTTACAGATAATTTATCAAAGCAACACAAGGAACGTATGTTCTGGGAATTAAGGTGTATATCTTGAGCACAATTTTGGGAACCCTAGATGCCTAAATACTTGTTGGACGTCTACTAAAAACGACATGTTTACACACAAAATTGAACTGTTGGGCCACCCCATTTTTGCTAATATGTACAAAACTTATGAACAAAATGTACAAAACTTATGAGGACATTTCTTGTGGAAGCACTTATACACATGTTTTTCCAATTAGCCATAAACTATAAAAAATAAAATTTGTACGCATTTCAAATCAGACGTACGGTAATTATTATGTTGAACAAACCGTGAGTGATAAACTCCTCAGTCGAGTTTAAATTTGTGTCCAAATTTAACAGATCCTATTAATGGTGTGTATTAATAATTGTACTTGGTTTCAAGACATAGCAAAGAAACAAAGAAGTGCACTTCACGCATTAAAGCTTATACCCTAACCCTAGCTAGTTTCTAAAACTAGACGTTACATGTACAAATAGTGTACATTCTCTGGTCCAGGCATAATGGATCATGCCGACATAATAATTTTATTAGAAGTTAATGTGAGAATGTGAAAGTGAAATTGTCCTACATGAAAAACTAACAAAACTTAAAACGACTTATAAGGAGTTGGGCTACTCTACTATTGCTAATTAATTTTGGAGTGAAACCTCAAATTTCTTGATTTAATATAAAATCAATGTACGGCCGATGAGCACATTGGTGCGATAAGGTTAGGTCCATGGCCAGTAACATAATAGATGATATATAAGGCTAATATTAGGAACACGTTCTTGAGTAAAAAAAAACATTTCTGCAACTGTTCCCATTTTATTTCTTTGATCTTTTACGAATGAATTTTCACCCAAAAAAAAAGAAAAGAAAAAGAAGAAACACACACACAAATAGACAGAGAATATGCAATCTTCCAAGGGGCTCAAAATGACTCAAATGAAACATAATGCAGTGCTGTAAACGTGTGTCTTTTCTACACAAATAATATTGGGAAATCTACGGTGGTCCAAACGACTTCAGGATCTGCAATATTCTGTGTCCTGCTGCTGTACATCAAAGAAATTATTTAACTCGTAACAAAATATTGGACC